ACCCAGGTTTAACCCATCATCAAAATTTGGTTTAAAGGCATGAATGAGAGATAATTTTCGATATTCGATTGATCTAAATCTAATTCGAACCTTGATGATTTTAGCTTTATTCGATTGGTGCTTATGATTCTGCCCCTTTTGTGGCTTTGTTGGCGATGTCGTCTGTGATTTTTGTTCAAGTAAACACAAACAGGTAAAGGGAGACAAGGGGGCAGCAGGTGAGAGTGAGAGGGAGGGGAGGGAGAGGCAGAGGGAAAGGGAACGGAAGGTAGGAGACTAGAATTGCAACTTGTTCTTCTGGAATTGGGAAATTGTGAAGCTTTGAAGCTGGTTGGAGGGAAAAAAAACCGAGGGAGGGGAAGGGGTGGAGGTGGGTTTTGTGTTAAAATAAAATGAGTTAATTACATCCTTAGTCCCTGAAGTCTCTAGAATTTCCGACATTCAATACTTTTAGAGGCTACTGACCAAAATAGAAGAGAAGAAAATAGTTCAGTGATGAATGGTGTAATTTACCCAATTTATAACAGCAAGAATTAACGGAAGCGTTGGCCAATGAAAAAGACACATTGTGTTCTTTTTTCGAGTTGGAGGGTCACATTGATCTAAAAAGGATGAAGGCCACATTGATTCTTTTTGAAAGTTGAGGGACCTCACCTGCCTTTTTGCCATTCATTAAATTAACCATAAACTTGTTATATTTGAACTCCTAAATAATTATATTTTTAAATAATTATATTTTTAAATAATTATACATATTCTTTCAAATGAGAGAAAATGTGTTGCACATCTGATCTCAAACACACGAAGTTATGCTTCCATCCTTCTAATAACTCTATATAAAAATCATGTATTTTAACTTTTTTCTAATATTTCTATTAAACATACATATTTTTTAAAACATTACTATTAGTTTTAATGTAGATAGTATTATAATAATATTAATAATCAAAATCAAAATTATAAAGAATTTTAAATTTCAAATATTTATTTTTTCACTATACATAATAATATTTTAAATAATATATTTCATATATTTTTTAAATTTTAATATTAATGAAAATTTTCAATTAATTATTTTCCAACATATCCACAATATATATATATATATATATTATTTTGATTATAAATAATATTAATGATAGAAATTCAAAGTTAAATTTGACCTTAAACCTTAATATTTTAATGGATTGATTTTCATTTTCTTTTTTTATTGGTCACTAGAATTAATTTTAAGCTACAATTAGTTAAATATATATCCAAACCCTATACCCTAAATTTGAACTTAAACTAATTTTTAAACATACAAATAATTTAAATTAATTTAAACTAAACTATCTTAAAATAAAAAGAAAAATAATTGATCTAAATTATTAATAAAAAAAACAAAAATAGAACTTATAAAATTTTTGCTTCAAAGTTATGCTCGTCCTTCTTCCTCCCAACGTATCCGTAACATAATATAAATAATAATATTTCCAATATAAATAATATTAATCATAAAATTTGGCAGTTAAATTTGGTTTTAAACCCTATTTTTAGTGTGTCGATTTTCATTTTCATTTATTTTATTAGTCACTGAAATTAATTTTAAACAAAAACTAATTAAATATATATATATTCAAACTCTAAACCCTAATTTTTAACTACAACAACTTTTACACATACAAAAAATTAAATTAATTTTAAATTAAAAATAATATAATTTTTAAAATTATTAATAAAAATAATATAATTTAAATAAAAAATTAAAACAATAATAAAAACTTTCAAAATTTTTGCTTTGAAGTTGTGCTTTGAATTTATACCACTCTTTCTTCATTCTTCTTTTTTCTCCAAGGAATTGTATGCTTCAAATTGATCATGCAATGACCCTAGTTATGAACCAATTTGGCATGCTCGATGTTGTTTTCCGGTGTCTCTGCCTCCCTAAGTGGGGTGATCGCCTCTCAATTTCAATTTTCTATATAATTTTAGATATTTTTTTATATTTTCTATTGAAAATCTATTTTTATCCTTTAAAATTTTATAACATTGTATCTCCTTAAAATTTTATAAATTCGACACCCTGACGTAATCTTCTGCATCCGTCCCTACGTCGCCTGCCAAGATTCTTGCATGCATACTGTATCATTGCCAGCTAAAGTGAATGCAAGTAGCATGGGATAGTCTCGAAAAAAGAATTATAAGGTTCGTTTCAACTAAAATTAAATCTTTTTTTTAAATATAAAAAATATAGTTCTAGAGAATCACCACAAATATTTACAAATTTTTTTTATCTGGAAATAGATATTGACGTTTGTTTTGTTTTAAAATCCTTTTATTCTTTCTATGAAACGTGGCTTCACTACATCCAAATGACTGTGAAAGAGGTGGACAGTGAGGCAGTCGCAATTGAATTCAAAAAATGGGGTTGCCTACCGATTCTTGTTGGATTCCGCTACATAATTTATAAGTTTTTGCACGAGTTAAAAATAAAGATCTTTTGGAGTTTGATAATGCTTACCATAACCTCAAGAGAATAGAAGTTATGGATAACTCGATTTTAATGAGATTGATAGAAACAGGGCAGGAAAGGGATAGAAAGATGTTTTCAAGTTTTAGTGCTTAAGTGTAGACAATCCAATGTCCCGTCATTGAGTTCAGACCACTAATGCCGCTCAGTATTGGGTCAGCATTCGATCGAGTCGAAATTAAATTTTTTTTGAGTTATTCGAGTTGACGATTCGTATTCTTTAAGTTTAAGAAATTCGAGTTCCTATACTAATTTTATTATAATTATTTATAGTATTATATCAAGGATTTGTTTCAATCTTTTGAGTTGCCTATCCAGTTCAGTTGGTAGAGCACAATGTTCTTAACCTTGAGGTCGTGGGATCGAGTCCCACGGTGGGCAATTCATAATTTGGAGGTCTCTCACGGAAGCTGCTCTCAACCTGGCGTTTGGGCAACCTACTATCCTACCTCCCCCTTACCTTATTACATATGAGAATAAAGGTCAGCTTAAAAAATTTGTTTCAATCTTTTGACTTTTTCTCATTATATAAGATATACATATATATTATATTCTTTTCATATTATAATATTATTTAGGCTTAAGGGTAACTTTTGCCTATGTAGTTGACCAAATTTATCATTTTCGCCCCTATTGTATTTTCGCATCAATTTAGTCTTCAAAGTTATTTAATTGCATCATTCTATACCCTTCTCCTAACTTAAAACCCTAAATTATAAACCCTAAGTTAGTGTTTAGAGGTAATAGGGTTATGATTTAGAGTTTAGGGATTATAATTTAGGGTTTTAAGTTAGGGTATGGTTATAGAATGATGCAATTGAGCAACTTTAAGGGCTAAATTGATACGAAAATACGATAAGGGAGAAAGTGATAAATTGGGTCTACTATAGGGGAAAAAGTTACCCTTTTGCCTATTATTTAATATATAAATATAATCTAAAATTACAAAATATATTCATAACATTTTTTTTTGAAATATAATAATAGGTATTGCAGTCAAAAGACAAAATTGAGTAAAATGCAAAGTTAATGGACTAAATAAAAGAGAGAGAGAGAGTACATTTTTAGTAAAACAGTAGAAATTGAAGTTACATAGGTATTCTATTGTGGTATATGAGCATGTGGTTCAAATTTGATTAAAAAAAAACAAACTTAAAATAAAGGATGAATTAAAGAAATGAAAAAAAGTATGAAAAATTGAGGGACTAAATTGAAAAATAAAAGTTTGTTATCAAAAAGAGGAATTGAAGTTACATAGGTATTCTATTGTGGTGTACGAGCATGTGGTTCAAATTTGGTAAAAAGGGAACTTAAGATAAATGATGAATCGGATAAATAAGGAAATTATGAAAAATTAAGGGACTAAATTGAAAAATAAAAATTTTGTTATAAAAAAGAAGAATTGAAAGTACATATGTATTCTACGATGGTTTATGAGCATGTGGTTACATTTTGGTAAACAAATAAACTTAAAATGGAGGAAGAATTGAAGGAATAATGAAATCAGAGACTAAATCGTAAAACTATCAAAATACTTATTCAAATTTTTAGTTTTTCAAGTAACTCGAAATTTTAAAATTTCAACTCGACTCGATCTCGAAAACCAAATTTATAATTTGAGTTCTCAAAACTGAAAAAAATCGATTTTTTGAGTTAAGTAGAGTGTTGCTCACCCTTACCTATTATTTTTCCTTTGCATATGTTTTTAAAAATATGCAAATCTATCATCACTAATTTATATAAGGGTAAAGTACACAAATGGTCCTTTGACTATAAGATACTACTTTATTAAGTTTCTCAACTATTAAAAGTTATAAAATAATCCTTCAACTATAGAGTGTTGCTTTGTCGAGTTCCTCGACTATTAAAATTTATAAAATGGTCACCTGACTATTAATTATGTTCCAAACTCGTCATTTTTCGTTAAAAAGTGGACAATATTCTGAGCTAAATATTAACCTGTTGACTGTGATATGATAAAATCTAATCCTAGAATCTCAAACGACTATCATATCCCGATCATCATGTTAACGTCCATCTTAAAAAACTGCCAATTTTTAACGGAAAATAAAAAATTTAGAACATAATAAATAGTCGGTAACCGTTTTATAACTTTTAATAGTCAAAAGACTTAATAAAGGCCAGGGAACCATTTTTGTATTTTATATAAATATTTATTTATACATTTGTCTGCATTTTATATACATGCAACTGTTACGGAAATTTATATAAATCAAACGACTTTAATGATTAAAGGAATGATTATTAATCCTGGAGATCCTGAGTTCAAGCATCAATGACCACATGGTATTTAAACGTTTATTGTTAAATAGTTGAAAGTCTTTAAAACAGATACTATCACTTGTAATCATCATAAATTAATAAAGAAAAAAAAAAAACTCTTATGAAAACTTTGAAATTACAAACGGAAATAACTGCCTACTTTAACGTCAAAAACATTAGTACTTACAACAAAGGATAGCTTGGATTTCCCTACATTAAAATACTTCAACATCTATTTCTTCTATGTATATATATATATATATATATCACAAGGGAGAAAAGCCCTAAAACAATACAAAACTCATAGTGAGCTGTCTGGATATCTCATATCTGTCTTCTTAAGCAAATATGTTATTAAGCAACAAAGAAACCTTTAGACTAACAAACATGGTTGGCACCTTACACGTAGAGCTTAACTATTTACTTACCAGCCATAGATAGGATTTTCCACCTGTGGAGGTACGAGATGAAGGTCTTTACAATGTTGCTTGTCGTAATCACGTGTACCGGGTATTGCCCCGGTGCAAAGTCTAAGAAACTCGTTCCCCGTGAGGCAATAGTGGGCGAATGCTAAACCCCCATCGAGCATCTCTGAAAGTTTTGGCATTGAAAACGATTTTGCAATTATGTTTCCATTAGGTCTCACTTTTGCAGGATCATGTTCGTTATTTGAAACTCGGTCAAGCTCCGAATATTCTACAAATCTTTGGGTGGCAGCTTCCCATGACAGGCTGTACATTTGCTCAGGAGTAAGAGGTTGAGGCTCTTTTGTCAATGCTTCCTTTACTTTCGCAACAAAGTCTTCAGATGTCTTGTAAGCCAGACAGTTGGGAAATGAACTAAAGAACTCATTCGAGGGATGGTCCGCACATATTACGAATTTTCCCATCGCAAGTGCCTCCGCGGTAGCTGTGCAAAGTACATCACTGACACTAGGGTTTATGAAGACTTTGTACCTGCAGGCAAAGAAAAGAATCTTAGAATCTTATAGACGGGGCAACTATACTTGTAAAGGGATTATTTTCGGAAGATGTGCTCAATATATTTTCTGAAAACCAAGTATCATCTCAGCAAATGATTGGATAGTTTACCCATGAAGAAAATCATCGGCGTGGTCCCTTCCTTTCAGAAAATTAAGGTTCAAATTCAACCTCTTAGCAGTACTCTGAACTTCATTTGCATCCTCACCATTTCCATACACATCCAACTTGAAACCTTCAAGATCATTCTTGTTCTTTGCCAACAAATCTATCAACTCTCTGTACCCTTTAGCCCAAACCATCTTGCCTAAGAAGTATGCTCCTTTAGAAAAGGCTTGCTGCCCAAGTTCCCTTTCTTCAACAACTTTCTCCCCAATTTTCAAAAACTTTGGATTTACTCCATGAACATTGCAAATCACGGACTTCGGTAGATCCTGAGTTGCACCAGAAAGACGAAGAACCTGAAGGGTGGAAAACAAACTTAGTTTGTCATACAAAGAATGATTCTTCAACTTTACCATTAAGTTTTTTAAATTACTGGTTTAATGAGCATGAGACTGAACCTATGATACAAATTATAATCGAAAGAAAATGACAGTCAGCAATGTCATAAAAGCAACAGAATAGACACACCTTGTGGCAGTATGCTCTACTGACCCAATTGTTGATGTGTTTCACAAGAAAGGCTTGTAGAGCACCATTCTTCTCCCTCTTAATATATTCCAAGTAATTTGTGTGGACAATACCAACAACATGGTTGAATTTATCAGTCCATCTTTTACCATGATGGTACCAGTTCAGATGTTCAGGTTCTTCCAAAATACAAATGTCTGCATCTTTTGATGAAATAAACTGAGAAGTGTCTCCAGCAGGTATTATGCTTCGCCTTTCTTTTGAAAACTAGAAAGCAATTATCGAATTATTGTCAATTATTATATATGTTAAAATGATTGAAAAGAAAAACATGATGTAATACAATAAATGTTACCTTTCCCGGATAAAATGAAATTTTAAAATCAGCCTTAAATCCAGTCCTTTCTTCAACCCAGTTACGTATATAATTCTCCTGCTCTTCTGGTGAACTGAAAGTGAGACTGCTCGGATAAACAAGTTCTTGATCAGATCGGCAAAGCCAGGGAACCAAAAGTGTAACTTTTTGTTTTGCCGATTTGGCCAAGTACACTGCTCGAAAAAGTGGATTTACAGCAGTTCCCGTCATCCATGGAAGGCTAGCAGTTGTAACAATGGCAACATGCCTTTTCCCATCTGAAATATCATGCTTTGTGAAGTCTGTCCAAAAGCCCCCCTCATAACAATGCCCTGTACTTTGAAGAACACTGGCAATCCTTAAATCCAGTTCATCATTTATCTTATCACTGTCAGCAGTAGGGGGTTCTCCTTCGGCAAGGGAACGCAAAACAAGTTGGTTCTTACGTTTGCTACACAAGCTCTCAACTATCTTGTCACATATATCTGAGAAATCACATTTAAGAAAGTTGTAAAAAATCAGTGCCAGTTAGACTCGATACCCTTATACATCATGTAGATATATTAGTAAAGCAACAAAATGGAAATGTAGAATATATATAGTGCCTCATACTTTCATGGGTAACTATTTTTCCCCCCAACAGATGTAAAATGGCAAGCTAATGAAATCGGTTCTGACTGCATAACTGAGTAAATGATGTCATACTAAAGAAAGTGAAGAGAAAATGGAAAATTAGCAACTGTTATTGTTTAGTGGAAGTGGAAAGCTCTTCTTCCAAGTATCTTAAGTGCTTGAAATACTTGAAAGGTGGCACAGCCATAATGAAAAAGAAATTGATTAAAAATTTATTTCTCTCACGTAGAAGGATGTTTAAAAGTTAAAACCAGCATCAAGCAGCCTACTACTTCCTCAAGAATCAACTGCCTATTGATTATTCAGCTTAATTATTCCCGGAATAGAAACAACATAATGTATTATTTAAGCATTAAAAGTTCAATTTCATTCCAGAACAATGCTCTTTCAAGGTGGTGTCCCCAATTTTATCCACAAATACAACTGCATAATTTGGTGAGATGAAGCCCTTAATGAACATTTTACAGATTCTATTAGACAGGACAACTACTCAAATATAAGCTGTCATGACCCTACAAAAGTAATCATAATGGAAAGAAGAAACAAGTGAATATAGTCCTTCAAATTTAAAGAATATACCAAGAATAGACCAAACCTATAAAAGATTAGTTCCAATGCAAAACTTCAAACTCAACATCCTGACACATTTTAAAAGTGAAAATGAGAGAGTTACAGGTAATTACCCCTTCTGACACCAAGTTGGTCCAGAAAAGGCCCAGATTGTCTGACAAGATAGGCTAGAAGTTCAGGTAAGTCCAATGGGGGTACTTCCTATATCAAACAGGAAAAAGAAAAATAAACATTCAGAAACGCACATATTTTACCGAGCATCTTAAGATCCAATCACGTTTGAATATGCGTACAGTATACATTAAATTCCAGGGCCATTCTCAACTACATTATATCTAGCCTATCACATCGACAAAATATAAAGCACATGGATTGAAACCATAGGTTAAAAAACCCATTGATGGGAAATATTTCTATAAATTCAAATATTATAATGTTTTTTTAAGAAAAGGCTAGCAAAGTGTTGTGATAAAAAGATCGACATTCATTCAAAGCAAAAGACACAATCAGCAAATTTTCTTTTAGTTTGAAGTTTTTACATGGCGTCTATATGCAAGTTTTCGGTGCTTCTCCAGCTAGATAAGCCTATACGCAAATTCCCTAAGTTCGAGAGGAATTAAATCCCCTAGCAAAATGCAGTGAACCTTAATCAACCCCAATAGTTGGCTAGCAAAGAATGGAAAGTAGAAAAAAAACCTTAAAACACAGAGGAATGTCCAAGATGCTATGTAGAGGATGAGGTAGAAAATTTAATTCAGGCTACCTACAATTTTTTTTTATAAGATTTGACGGCCTCATTAAAAACCTCCTTGATTAATGGAGCTTGTATAGAAGCTTCTTAATCATCGGAAGGAGGAAAAGAGTGCCTTATAATTTCATTATAGAAAATAAGAATTACAACCTTGGAAAAACTATTCCAAAAAACCCTTACAACAATACTGGAACCAGAAAACCAAACTAAAGAAGCCGACAACATATAAAAAAATTAATATGTTTAGAATATGTTTTTGTTTTACTCCAATGTGGCTGTGATCAGGAATATACAAAAATTAATAACAGACTCTGCCAAATCGAACCAAATAACTACATATTCAAATACACAGAAGCATGGAAAAATAGGCCCTACTGTCGTGTAGACAAACAGTCTAGTTACCTATTGCCTGATCATCGCAAAGGAGTATAATTCTTAGATTCTTTAATATAAAACTATTTTAATTATAAGAGCTTTGAAAGGCATTCATGCTTATTTCCTGAAATGAATACCATTGTTATGTTGATGGTGAATCTGTGAGCCATCAATTATGCTATACCAAATGATCCACCCATTACAAAGAAAAACAAAACTTTCACTAGCATTCATGGAACATATAAATGGCATGACTGCATCAAAGAATTGGAAATTACGAATAAATAGCAGATTGCATCAAAGAATTGGAAATATGAATAACACAAAAGAATGCAATAATCCATAGTTTGAGAAGGGAACCTTTGACTCCTGAGGTTCCTTGCATATTGCTTTCTGCAAAATAAATAAATTGATCAAATAATTGCATAAGGATTTTTAATTTGCATTAATCAAGATGATAAAATCACAAAAAAAAAACAGAGGAACAAATCTACAGTGTACAAGCAATACCTAAAATGTCCAATATTCAACTCAATACCGTCAACCCACAGCTGGATGGATGTTTAAAAACAGATTATTACAAAGCACTTACTTTTACAGAACATTTTAGAGAAAGAAAGCTTAAAATGCTCACACTCAAAGTTATATCAACCTTTCCATCACGGGAACTTCATGTTAGACAAAAGAAGAGAAAAAAAATACAGGAAACTTAAGATATCAAATCCTTATTACCCATTCGTATAGCCATGAATCATGATGATATTTTTTTTAATTAGCCTGGCATAATTGATTGGTCAAATGGAAAGCAGCAAACTCCCTATCACAATATCTGAACTTTCCACAAGTATTTTGACCAAATTTCTCTCCTCAGCAGTGCCTAATCATGAGATTGTAGGACTTCCTAACAAGGAAACTGGATTCATATCCGATTTTACTAGCCTTGAAATATGAATGCACACTCTTTTCAGTAGTACTTCATGCATCCATATACAAAGTATATGAACCAATTGATTAACTTAAAGCCTCAGTTATATCAATTTCCCATTGAGGGAAAAAGCAATAATAAGTATCTACATATACCATTGGATTAAGCCTTAAAAAGGCATCACTACCATGTTTATCACAGTTTTTATGTTATTCTTTTAAAACATAATAAAATACAATTCATTCTAACCACCATGTTTATTCAAATTTGAATATAACAACAGTGATCAATTAGTAGTTCTGTTATGATGAATATAACACCGCCACCAAGCATATTAAACAATAAAAAATCCCACTTCACAGACACGGTATGAGAAACAACTAACCTCTTCATTGGTAAGAGAATGAGTATTCCAAGATCCTTTAAATTCTTTTTCTAAGGTAAAATTTCAAGCATCTTAAGAACTCGAACGAACTTATGAATGATTTAAAAGTTTGGTCTAATATAGAAATTTCAGTATACTAAGCACTTCAATTTTCCAACCACACTGGCCACTCTGTATTCATCAAAATTCCCTACTTTCAAACTAAATCAATAAAGTGAATTCTGGGACTAAAAAGCCCGGCATGAAGCATAAACCCAACACAAAAGAATTGAACCTGATGGTAGTTATACATCCGTGCGACTACAACCATCAAATTTATATTGTGAAAAGAAAAGCTTTCCCAATAACTGGGGAAAAGCAGAGGGAAAGAAGGGAGCTCACCAAACTGGACTTAACTTTCTCAACAAACTCACTATTCTTAAATCCACCAAAGATCTCCACCGAATAATTTTTCTTATCAAACTCTCTTAACCTGGTCTTCAACGCCCGAATTGGCTCCCAATCCCCCAAACTCCCTTCCTCTGTAAACCCCAACCTCCTACCTTTCCTAAACTTATTGAATTCCGTAATTCCATACATATCCTCCTCATGGGTCTCGTCCAACTCGGCCACGATGGCGCTCCTTATCCTTGATAAGTTTATCCCCAACTTCGCCCTCGGTCCCCATTTTTCCATCACTTTCCGGCTAATCTCGGGAGCGGAATAAACCCTGCGAAACTCCAATATCTTAGGCTGCAGCTTCTTCATGAAGTCGATTTCCGAGGATTGTCGGATCGCTGGCACGGAGAAAGTCGGAGCGGCGGATTGTATTAAGTTCTCGATTTCCCTGTCAAAAGAGGCAGCGAGATTCTTGAAGGAATTGGCACGGTCTTTCATGAGCTGCAAATCGGCGTCGGCGGAGTTGCGAACCTCTCTCCAACCTTTGGAAATGAAGGAGAAAGCAGTGGAGTTGGACGCCGCAGCTGAAGCGGATGAAGAGCTCTTTTCCATGGCGCGAAACTCAGCTAGGGTTTTCAATCAATAATTCCGTTAACAGAGAATTCTTTGAATTTAATGCTTCTTCGCAGATACAGATGGGGAATTAACGGCCAAGGTTGGTGGTGAACAAGGAAGGTAATAGGGGGAGACAGTTGGCGTGCCACGTGGGAGAGTGGAGAGGAGATTTCGTTGCTGACGTGGTGGATGTCACGTGGAATTTAGACGTGGTGGTGATTGGATTGGATTGGGTTGGTGAGAATGGTCGACTCATCTCTCTCGGGAATGTGCCGTGACCCATTTTGTCATTTCGTCTACTCTGCTTGGCCAACGCTCATCTCCATGTCAATTTTAGAGACAGTGTTGGAGAAGGTGGCACACTTTTGTAGGCACACTTTTGTTCTAAAGAACGTATATATCAATTATAGAGGATATTTTGTACTCAAAATAAAAGCACGTGGTAGAAGGTAGCAAATCACCAGATGTGGAGAAGATTGTGGAGGTGGTGATGGAGTGGCCGTCAATTCAGTCACTAAACAAATTGATGGTACACTAAGAACACTTATAAGTTCATACATACCAACAAAAAAAGAAAATTCCTCTAATGAAAGCTTTACCTGATTCATTTAAAATAATAATTCGATCAATCTTGTGGTAATAAATTTGAAAATCTCAAACCCTGAACTTTTAATTCAATCTTCAAACTTTACCAAGCACACTATTATTGCTTCCAAACTCATAAAACTGCCCCATAGTGTAACACCCTAAATTATGGGCTAGTAGTTTCGAGTTTACCCCGAAGGCATGTGGGCCTCGTGGATTTCATAATTTAAGTCGTTGGGTCGAGTTGGACTTAATTAGGTTGGAATTGAGTCCAATTAGCCATAAAATGGTTTTTTTTTTTAATTATAGAAAAATAAATAAAGACCAAATGTGTGTTTACCCGTTTCAAAAAGATGAAGCATTTTTATCTCTTTTCATCTTCTTATTCTCTTCATTTCATTCAATCCTCCTCAATTCTCTCTCCTTCTTCCTCTCTCCTTCTTCCTCTCTAAGTTTCATAACTAAAGGTGAGTCCTTTGAGCTTTATAATTCGTCCTTAGCCCTCCAACAACATCCTTCATGTTAATTTTCCTCTTGGCTAGAGAAAATGAGGGGTTTTCATCCAAATCATAGAGGAAAGGGGTGTGACTAAGCAAACAGCTTCATCTCGGGATCCTAGTACCATGGTAGTGTATTTCCAATCCTTTGGAGTGTTAAGGTTTTCATAAATAGGAAAAATTGCTAAGATTTTTGTATTTGAGCATTTTAGGGTTTATGTTTGATTTCATGATTAAATGATGAATTTGATGTTAAATATGTGTTTTTATGACACTTTATGACCCTAAGTAAATCCCTAAAGCTTTAGCACATGATTAAGAATCAAACTAAGACCTTTAGGATGATGTTTGGATTTTTCTCGAGCTTAAATAAGACATTTTTTGGGTTCGAGTATCGATACTGGATAAATAAAAACATCACTCCTATAGTATCGATACTCATGGTGTACAGTATCGATACTAGGCCTATTTATCAGCAACATGATGCATTTCTGGTACTGATACTCATAGGGTATCGGTACTTAACATTAGGGTATTGATACTACAAGTAGAGTATCGAAACTACTCATTTTAGATGATTAGATTTGACTTGTTTAAGGCCCGTAAGAGCTAAGGATGGTCCGTAATGGTAGAACATAGTTTGTGGGGGACATAAATGGCCAAAGATACCTAGGAACACTCGTAGGAGTGGGTTACAACTGATGTAACCATACTAAGCGTAATAAGTCAAAGTATCCTTAGTTAAGCACGTATTTGAATAATTAAGAATGAGGATCGTTATAGGGGATATACCGACAAGCAGTAAGATAAATGAGTTAAGATCAGTAATAGTGAACATCGTATGATTCGAGAACGTCAGTGAACCGATAACATATAAGTCGTCCCTTTACTTCAAGGGGTATTGGGGAAAAATATGATAAGAACGACTAAAGTGTCACTACCCAGTGATGAACCCGAGTCAGGTATTGGGCTAGCTAGTGTTACAAACAGTGAACGACAACACATTAATCATCATAGAATCAAGAAATGTGTAGAGACTTCTCTAGAGGTAGAGAATTACTAAAACATCATTAAGTAATGATCGACTAGAATAGAGCAACTTAATAACTAACAACAATAACATACTAATAAACCTTTCTATAGTGTTCTAGATAAGAGAACAAGTGAGATAATAGCTAGTAAGAGGATGACATCACTTTAGTATGTCCAGCTATGTTAGGGTGTAGCCATATTACCTTAGATTCCCTAGTGGGGCATAGTCAGTTATGTGTGGCCCTTGGGCCCACAGTCATGCATGTATAATTATGTGAGGCCCGAACACTCACGAGGAGTGGGTTAGTGATGACAGTTATGTGTGGCATTTGGGCCCTTAGTCATGCATGTATAGTTGTACCAGTCCAATACAACAGATATCTTAAATTCTTGGCTTGAAGGATGTGTAAGACCGAGCCAATGCTTTAGTTGAGCGTGAATTGTATCGATACTATGTGACACTAGGTTCCCCCTCCATGCTATACTTGATGGTTATATGAGACCATGAGATCATTCAACAACTTAATGGGAATTTCACCGATGCTATGTGACACCGAGTTCTCTCAGTTATCTAGTGTCTGATGGCTATGTGAGACCATATACTAGTCAAGTTTGCATTCAAATAATGCACTGCAGAGTCAGTGTTGCATTCAGATAATGCACAACAGAGTCAGTGTTGCATTTAGATAATGCACAGCGAAGTCAATGTTGCATTCAGATAATGCACAGGGGTGTCTGTGTCACATTTAGAGAATGCATAGCAATTTCATTCGGATTAAGGGAAGCATGAGACTCCTACTTTAGCGATAAAACAATAAAACCCTAAGTAGGTAGCACTTGTTCGAGATCATGCATGTACCTACTGCTTAGTACCATATCTTTAGCGTGCTTGTGTTTATGAAACTCATAATGCTTCTCTATATTAGCGATTATACTATTAGGCTTTGTAAGCTCAACATTCGAATGTTTCTATTCGTAGGTTTTTAACTTGGGTCATTTGTGGAACACCGTCGTAGCAGGACTTCCAGCATCTCCTTCAGAGCACTGCATTATATCTTTAGTGGGCATATGTATTCATAGAACATTAATCATGCATTTAGATTTATAAGAAAGAGTTTGTAATATTTTGATTTAAATTATGTGTCACGAATCTCCAATTTATAAAATGTTTTATAACTGTTATTTACATTTGTATGGTACCATTGAGTATGTTTTAAAAGATGAAGGAATAGTTTTCAAAAACATGGGTTATCTCGATAACCAATATGACACTTTAGGCCCAATCGGGTTTCGGGTGTTACATATAGTCAATCGTTAATGACATAGATCCATTACTTATTGGTAGTTCATCTTATAAAATTCAACACAAAAATCACTTTGAAAACAAAGTTCAAATCTCATAATCCCATTAAATGCAACAAACCAAAGAATAAGATTAAAATGCTTGAATTCTTGGAGTCCTAGAGGAGATGTAGATAACAAACGAAAATAAAAGAAAGTGAGAGAAGAGAAAAGTGTATTTGATAGTGGTAGGTACGACGATGGTCTTAAAAAGCTCCGATAACGACGTGGTGTTGTACTAATGGTGGAATGCTACTGCACTAATGGTGGCGTGATAATGTTTTCAATTAAAATAAAAATTATATTTTATTAAAATAATTAATAAAGATTTTTTTTATTAAAAGCCTCTCCACAAGGTATCTTTTTATTAGAACTCCATCTCCCTAAGACAATAAAAGCACTAATTCATTAATTTTTTATTGAAATTCTTCTCTTCCCACTCCTATGTATTACTTTATTATTATGCCTACTGTAACATCCCCAATCCGTATCCAACCCGGATACGAGTCAGAGATATTATATTGACTTTTAAAACACAACTCTTACAAATAATATCAAAATACTTGAACTTATATTAAGAAAAATACAATAATATACATATATTAATACAAGTTTATCAAAATACTCAGAGCATACACAACTTAACCCTTTAGTTACATGCCAACATCCCTTTTCATAACAAAATGACCTACTGATTAAGTTGCTTCTGATCTGATAGTTATAGGAGTAATGTTGTCCAGCTGCTTAACCTCGATCGTCTACTTTATCGGATCCTACGTGTGAATCACTCACACGCTAAGTCATCGACTTAGTGAGGCAATATAATAATAATATCAATAAATATAGAGTAATTGCCAAATTGGGATGGGTTGCAATGATAAGATGTATTTAAACAATGCAATAACCAGAACCATGTTTCTTACACATATACTTATCAAATTCACATTCATAAGTTCACCTTAGTAAGTTCATTAGCCCATGGTACCATACAGAGAACCTAAGGTATGTGAGTATTGTGAGGTTCTGCACTATGTTGTCACCACAACTCATATAATTACACTGAAATGCCACATAGAATTGCACCAGAGTGCCGCGTAGAATTGCACCGTAGTGCCATATAATAATGTCCATAAGGACCACATATCATTCCTTAAGAATCATATACATATACTAGGGATCAAGTATGTGTCTCACCAGACTTCACACATGTTCCAAAGAATACATATATGTCCCGAAGGACCACATATCATTCCGTAAGAATCATATACATATGCCAAGGATCAAGTATGTGTCTCACCAGACTTCACACATGTTCCAAAGAATACATATATATCCCGAAGGACCACATAGACCCTCTACCCTTGGCATGCCAACTATACCTATAGTTCTCATTTACATAACATGGGCTTTCACAATTTATCTTATTTGTATCATGTAGACATATTATTTTCATACCTTTATCACATAACTCATATAACTTTTTCTTGCATATTCATGTCCCATAATGCATATGGTATGGATTCATGTCATATATCATAATATGAAATACTATCATGTATCAAAATATTGAATCTAGATTTATCACAAGTCTAGAATTGAATAAAATACATATTCATGCT